TCTCAAAGCTCTCCCACAATTGGATGCAACAAATCTCTCTTAGAGGCTGCTCAAAATCGTCCTTCAGATACCCTAACAAATCAGGTTTAGGATATATATAACTTACAAAACGAAACGGGTCAAAAAACCTGAAAGCCCAGCCCAGATCATCGTCGGTCGACCGCGCAGGTCTTGCGGTCGACCGCACCGGTCGACCGAATCATCAAACCCGAGAGCAGAAAATCCTACAGTCATCCTCGGTCGACCGCGCCGGTCGACCGCCACCAGCTCCGGTCGACCGCGCCGGTCGACCGCCACGCACTCTGATTCCCATCAGCTTCGGTGCACGTTTGCGGTGGACCGCGCCGGTCGACCGCCCAACTCTCTGCTGATTTTTCTGAGTTTCTGTAATTTCTTCAGTGAAAACCTTCTATTTGTGTAACTTATAAGGTTTTGGGGAACTTATTTAACATTTAAGGACTTGTTTCATAATACCGATGATTTGCACAACCAATATCTTGAAAAACCCAATTTGTAACATTTTCACTCCTAGCTCAAATATCTGACAGGGATTAGTACCTTCAGGGTGCGCTAACTTTTGCATTCCGGTAGGGGCAACAATTATTGGTGATGACAAATTGTACCCCAATAAGGCGGTTGACATATCTATATTGCTTACATCCACTAGGACTCTTGGTCGTAACCTGAGAATTCATGCTAAAAATAATCATGTGTTTTACACATGTCAACATAAAATCATAGCAAAAAGAGAAGTAGGTGTTACAATATTCTTTGAAACGCTTTGATGTTCTCCCTTAAGGTAAATTCATCCTCAGCTCCTCCTCTGAAGTNCTCTTGAAATTCACTCACATTAACTGGATCACTCTCCATTTTCCCTGCACAAACTACCGATTCAAGTTTCGTATCCAATAAGTTCGTTTGTTCATGCATTCATCATTCTGAAGTAAAGGTAAGCTAGTTTTGGCCATGGAGACATGAAATGTGACTATCTTCAGGGTTAGCAAATGAACTCGTTTACTTTTCGGTTAGTGCACTTATAACAATCTGATACTGTCAACTTGTAATAAGATTGACCAACGATCAAATAACCTCTGCTACTTCTCTCCATCAAGAAGCCATCCAATCTCATCCAAGGAATAGTTCTTCGTAATCTCCAAAAATTAAATTTTGAGAAAAAACATCATAGCCAAACATGAAAGAAAAAAAGTTGAAATCAGAAATTTGTCTTCAGAAATTAGAACACTTTTAGATCACACGTATATAATCACCAGAAAGTAAAACCTGTAGCTGATTTTTTTTCTTCATTAAAAGATCATTTCCGCTTGTATACTATAAGGAGTTTCAACATAGTTACTGCTTTTATCATTCAGCACAAATACCCAGAAATCACCAATTAAACTTCTGTGTTTACTTCAATAAACAAATTGGAGGGAGACTACAGCTTTAAGCTCATTCTACATCAACTCAAAAACAATTTCATAGGTACCATTTTATTTTATTTCATAATCATGAAGATATAAGCACATAGCAAACTCTAGATGAATTAAACTGCAATAAATGAATGTATTGAGTAAACATCATTAGAAAAGGGACGGGGAAAAAAAAGGATAAAGGAACCAAACCTTGGGGCTGAGAAGAAGAAGAAAAACAGAACGCTGGTTGACAATTTTTTTTTGTCCTGTAATTTAATAGGGTTAACTTCACAAAACCCCCTGAACTTTGGAGGGTGTTGCAATAACCCCCTTGAACTTTATTTATCTCACTTAATCCCCCTAAACTATTGGGTGTCTCACAAAACCAGCTTGAAATTTCTCTTATCTCATCTAACCCCCATGCCTATAATTTGCAAATAACTAAAATATCTTTGAGTGAAAATTTCCTAAACTTTCATCACATGTCATGTTAAGGCAACATACTCCTTTCCCTAAAGTTCGAGTGTTTTCCTCTCAAGAAAATTTTAGTTATTTGCAAATTATAGGAAGGAGGTTAAGTGAGATAAGCTAAAGTTCAAAAGGGTTTTGTGAGACACCCCATAGTTTATGGGGGTTAAGTGAGAAAAAAAAAGTTCAGGGAGCCCACAAAGTTCAGGGGGTGGGGGGTTTGTGAAGTTAATGTTGGAAATTTATCAAATAATTAAGATTATAGTATGCAGATAAATCCGAAAAATAAACAATTAAAACTGGCCTGATCGGGAGCAGTCGTGTATTCACTGCCCTAGAAAATTGAAAACCCGCCTATCGCCCTGGCGCAGATGGTTCCCTCCCCTCTTGCGGTAAAAGCCCCCGGAAAAGGCCGGCCTCTGCACTCGGGCGAGAGTGCAGAACTTCAGCTCAAATGAAAGAAGTTGCCCATAAAATAAAACTAAGATGTAGATGAAAATAATATGTAGGGGAGAGAAGAAAAACAAGAGAAACTTGTTGTATATTTTTTCTTATCATTTTGAGCTCAACATACGGATATATATATAGGGTTGGAAAAGACGTTACAAAACCCGTAATTAATTCCGTAACGTTCGTCATAAATTTGATAACGTTCCCCATAATTATATAGCCGTTACACATATTTTTAATTGCTAATTAAAACATGTTTTAATTATAAAATTTTTATTACTATTCATGAAGGCAAAATTGTCTTTTCTTAACAAAATATCTAACAGTTAACCCTTAAAATTACCCTTACTTAGGGGCTGTTTGTTTGCTTTATTTTGAGATGGAAATGGGGTGAAAACCTGCCAAAATCTGACATTTTGACAGGTTTTCACCCAAAAAAAAAAACAACAACCAAACAGCCCCTTAACTGGCATGACAGAACAATGAGAACCAACAATAATGTTCTCTAGTAAAATATTTATGTTCTGTCAAAAAAAAAGAAGAAGAAAAGAACCTTTGGCACATACCCCGCCATCTTCACTCAAGATAATATAAAAAAAAGTTTAAATCTACTATTTAAATAATTCCCTGTTGCATCTCCCAGTCGACGTTCAACCTTCGCTCAGTGAATGATTCTACAAGTGGTCTATGTGCAATTAACCCAATTTCCAAGAATACACCCTTTAGAGCACTTACGTCAAAGACAGTCGCGTCAAATACCAGAGATGCACACAAATATCGGTCACTCACTGTAAATTTTGAAATTTACTTTTGTACTGACATTTTCAAATTTACTTGTGCTTCTTTCATTACATTAAGGATCTCAATTGATCGCAGGGAGTTCGAACATGGCTGCTGTTAACACGCTTCAGCGTACGGCAGCCAGTGAGGGTCATGGTGATCTCTACCTCACTCCTAAGCATTTCATCAATTACTTTTCTTACTCCTTTCTTTCCCTCTGCAGATGGCCAAAAGACCTCTGGCCTTCCAATCTATAGAAAGAGACAGAAATATGCACGGATAAAAACACGAAAACTTAAAGAAATGAACCTGTGACTGTCGACGCATGAGGTATAAGGAAAATTTGGAAATAAGTAGAGAGACGAGAATACCATTAAAAAAAAGTTTAAGACAAATGAAAAATCCCATAAGCTCTCCCCCATCGAAGTCATTATTGATGTGCTAGATACTTGAAACTCTCTCCAAGAAAGCAACTTCCTAACAATAACACCAACATAATTGTCTCCTATTATTAACAATTTTTTTTAATGTGAACACTTATTTCTCAAAAAGAATGATTTATATCAGCTTTTTCCTTAAAATCAGAGAAGGCTCTTCATACTTCTAAGATGCCAGATCAAGAATTCAAGAAGAAGGGAGTTGGTTCTATCTCGGCCAAGCTACTAACAGAAGTTCTTCATCCAACATGTTGACTTTGTTGGCTTGAATTTGGCCAAACATCACGGGAGGTGCTGTCAAGTTATCTCAACGCGGCTGCTGAAGAAATTGTGGAAGGGATGTCTCATCTTTATGTCACTTTCATGTGTTGTCCCCATCTCAATCAACCACTCCCTCTTTTTTTGTTTTGTCTCTGCGTGTATTAAAGAAGGTCACACTTTTTTAAGTCATTTTTGTGAACACGTCTTTTGTTCACGCGTCAAGTGGGGGCCACAACGAAAAAAAAGAAGAAATTGGGACATAGGAAAACCGCGTGGGGGACCTGGCTATATATAGCCTTTTTTGTTCCTAGGGTTTTCGGTGGAATAAAAAGAGCAGCGGCTTTTTTTGTGCGGAGGCTGGGTATGGTTTTTGCGGCTACAGGAGATCAATTGCACAGAGAGCTGGGGATTTGATTTTTCGGCTGCAGGTGAAGAACACGAGGAAAAGCAAAGCTTTTGTTGGGAGTTGTTCTTTTATTTGTGCATCCCTTTGAGAGAATATTTGTAAGAGGGATTTGAGAGTTTGTTTGAGTGGGTTTAGATTGTGAGATTGTAAACCCTAGTTGTATCTCTCCCTCTAATAGTAGATCTCCCCCTCCTTGCCCCGTGGACGTAGGCTATTTGCCGAACCACGTAAAAAGTTATGTTCTTGCCGTGATTTGTAATAGCTTGTAGGATCCCTCGACGCGCAGTCCTAGAGCTGACGAGAGGACCCTCGATGCGCAGTCTTCGATGAGATATCTGGCTTTTTGATTCTTGTGTCTCATCTTTATGTCACTTTCATGTGTTGTCCCCATCTCAATCAACCACTCCCTCTTTCTTTGTTTTGTCTCTGCGTGTATTAAAGAAGGTCACACTTTTTTAAGTCATTTTCTCACTTGTGGTCCCCTCCCCAATCAATCAATCACTGATTGATTTATTCAATCTCTATGTGAATTAAAAGGGAAGTGAGAGTGTAAGGCAGAGTAGAGAAAAACACAGACACACGAGAGATAGCCACACAACAAAAGTGAGTTCTCAAATTTTGTATGAGTGTTGTAATTTGAGAAAGAAATATAGTGAAACACCCTCTTGCCGTGGACGTAGATCAAATTGATCGAACCACGTAAATATTGTGTTTGTGAATGTTCTATTTTCTGGTTCTGTGTTCAATTATCCCAACAAAACAATCTTCACCATAACATAAGAGAACTAAAAAGTGATGCAGCCTTCGGTCATGTTAATTGAATCAAATAGAGTTGAGCTTCAAAACTCCAAGAACACATCTCTTGAAGAACATATATCAATATCAGACACCCATATAAGTATTGATTACTGGTATGTCGAAATTTACTTATGTTTCTTCATTACATTAAGGAGCGCAGTTGATCACGGGGAGTTTGGACATGGCTCCTGTTGATATCCTTCAGAGTAGGACAACCAATGAGGGCCATGGTAAGCTCTAGCTCACACTTAAGCATTTCAATGACTTTACTTACTCCTTGCTCTCCCTTTGCAGCTAGACCAAAGACCACTGGTCTTCCAATCTATACAAAGAGACACAGAAATATACATGAATAACAAACATGAAAATTAAGAAAAAAACAACCTGTCACTAATTGAAACTTGAGAGTTAAAAGAAAGAATAAAGTGAGTATAGAGATGAGAATAGATAAAAGGGTAAATTTCACAAAAACTCCCTGATTTTGGGTTTTTTTACAAAGCCTCATAACTTTGTAAATTAGAGAAAAGCCCCTTGAATTTGACTTAATTAGTTTAAGTTGTTAGGTTTGGACAAGTTATGTCCTTACATGCTTCTTAAATTTTCTGAAAGAGAGTTTTCCGTGTTAGGATAATTAGATAACCACAAGTATATTTTAGACTTTTACTTTTTGTGTTAATGTCCTTTACGACAATTTCCAATAGCTCATGCGAGTTTGTGTTTTGAAAGTGCAAGAGGTTTTTCTCTGATTAATAGAGTTCAAGGGGGTTCTGCACTTGCACACCCCAAAATTCAAAGGGGTTTTGTGCACCCCAGTTAGCATACCATTACAGCCTTCGCACCAAGCGCCAAGGCCTTGAAAATATCATTTCCACGACGAAAACCTCCATCAATTAGAACAGGAATAGCACCAGAAACAGCTTCGACCACCTGTAGCCTCAAATGATAGTTAATGATTTGCATATCGCACTAGTTTTCGGTTTCTCCATAAATTAATATATGATCTAATAAGTTTTATTATGAATGGTCGAGCAAATGGTTTCCTCTTCAAGAACAGAGATTGTAGCTGGAGAATAATTAAAGTTGGCGTGCACCATGATTATATACAATTATTCCAGATACTCCTGCGTCCACTGCCTTTCGAGCTATTTCAGGATTTTGTCACTATGTTACAGATAGTGTTGTTGACAATATCATACAAGCTAACAATATACTTGTATAAAAATAAAAATGAAACCATTAACTTAGAAAATAGTACCATCTTCTGCATTGAGCAGCCCTTTTACAATAATTGGTAATTTGGTAATAGATTTTATCCATTCTATATCCTGCAAATGTAGGTGTCTAGACGTCAAGATGAAGTTGAAAAAGAAGCACAAGAGAATTAAATTCTTTTAATTTTGGCTTTCTTGGGATGCCTTCATGAAAATAAGCAGAAATTTCATGAGATAGCTGTTGATAATAGTGTATTGTAGTGGGTTTTAGTCCCACATTGCTTGGGAGAACAAACCTCACACTCCTCTACTTGTATAAATATATGTGCACACTCAATATTCAATTCAAGGGAAATTTACCTAAGATTCTCTCTCTCTCTCTTACTTTAACATGGTATCAGAGCTAGGGCTATTTCCCTTTCAATAAAATTTTTAACGCTTTTGCGTTCTTTTGCCAAATCTTGGCCTTATTGCTTTGCAGCCGTTTAATGTTTTATTTTTTTTATTTTTATTTTTAATTATTTGGCGTTCATCTGCCAGATATTTTGGCCTTGTCGTTTTGCGGCCTCTTAACGCGTTTCGCGTTCTCGTTTAACCTTCGGGTTCTATTTTAAACCTTCGGGTTTCATTCTAACCTTCGGGTTCTATTTTAAACCTTCGGGTTTCATTCTAACCTTCGGGTTCTATTTTAACGGCATTGTCGTTTCAAGACCGTCTCTCGGTCTCAAATTAACGGCATCGTCGTTTCAAGCCGTCTCTCGGCCTCAAACGAACGACATTAGTAACAGCATCTCGACATCTTAACGTCTCAAGATTGCTGTTATGGCTCCTTCAGAGAAGATTCCCAAACCACCTTTGCCCCTCAATGATCAAAGTGACTGGGCAGGGTGGTCCACCATTGTCACCAATGCCTTGCGTGGCGCTGGTTTGCTTGATCATCTCACCAGTACGGGACCAGTTCCACCGTCCATCAGCACTGTTGCTTCATCCAGTACTATTGCCTCTGGCAGTGGTGATGTCGATCTTCAGACTGCTCGTGCTCTCTATGTCAAGGAGAGTTCAGAGTGGCAATTGCAGGAATTTTTAGAAGAAACTTCACCGAGGTGGAGAATTGTGAACACGTCTTTTGTTCACGCGTCAAGTGGGGGCCACAACGAAAAAAAAAAGAAATTGGGACATAGGAAAACCGCGTGGGGGACCTGGCTATATATAGCCTTTTTTGTTCCTAGGGTTTTCGGTGGAATAAAAAGAGCAGCGGCTTTTTTTTGTGCGGAGGCTGGGTATGGTTTTTGCGGCTACAGGAGATCAATTGCACAGAGAGCTGGGGATTGATTTTTCGGCTGCAGGTGAAGAACACGAGGAAAAGCAAGCTTTTGTTGGGAGTTGTTCTTTTATTTGTGCATCCCTTTGAGAGAATATTTGTAAGAGGGATTTGAGAGTTTGTTTGAGTGGGTTTAGATTGTGAGATTGTAAACCCTAGTTGTATCTCTCCCTCTAATAGTAGATCTCCCCCTCCTTGCCCCGTGGACGTAGGCTATTTGCCGAACCACGTCCTAGAGCTGACGAGAGGACCCTCGACGCGCAGTCCTAGAGCTGACGAGAGGACCCTCGACGCGCAGTCTGAGAGCTGACGAGAGGAAGAGCAGATATCTCACTTTGATGAGATATCTGGCTTTCGGTTCTTGTTTCCTTTGAGAAGCGAGAATTCCGTTGTGATCTAATCTCTTGTTGTGCACCTTGCGCACCGGAGGTGCTGCCGAAATTTCCGCTGCGCACAACAATTTTCTCACTTGTGGTCCCCTCCCCAATCAATCAATCACTGATTGATTTATTCAATCTCTATGTGAATTAAAAGGGAAGTGAGAGTGTAAGGCAGAGTAGAGAAAAACACAGACACACGAGAGATAGCCACACAACAAAAGTGAGTTCTCAAATTTTGTATGAGTGTTGTAATTTGAGAAAGAAATATAGTGAAACACCCTCTTGCCGTGGACGTAGATCAAATTGATCGAACCACGTAAATATTGTGTTTGTGAATGTTCTATTTTCTGGTTCTGTGTTCAATTATCCCAACAAACTGGTATCAGAGCTTCTCGGTTCTAGGATAGCTTTCAATCCTACACAATAGCTTCTGTGAAGTTCTCGGTGTCGATCTTTGATGGCCAGAACAATTTCGACCTATGGAGGATAAAGATGAAGGCTTTGTTGCGACGTGAAGTCACGGTTAAAGCTATCGATGGGAAATACCCAGAAGATATGACTAGTGCCGAGATCGAAGAGATGGACGAAAAGGCTGAAAAGGCTCACAGCGCCTTGCAATTGTCACTATCCGACAATGTGCTTCGTGAAGTTGGCGATGAGGAAACGACAGCGGGGTTGTGGTCAAAGCTCGAAAGTCTCTACTTGAAGAAATCTCTTACTACGAGATTATACCTGAAGCAGCGGCTATACACATTGAAGATGAAGGAAGGTACACCCATTCAAGAACACCTTGATGAATTTAATAAAATTGTCATGGATATGAAAAACCTGGATCTAAAGCTTGATGATGAAGATCAGGCTCTCATTGTGTTGTGTTCCTTGCCCGACTCTTATGAAAACTTTGTTAATTCTATGTTGTATGGAAGAGAATCCATAAGTCTTGAGGATGTGAAGGCCTCTTTGAATTCTGCTGAGTTAAGAACAAAGTTGAATGGGAGAGGTACCGATAGGCAGGCTGATGGTCTGCTAGCCAGAGGTAGAATGAAGACCAGAGAGGGTGATAAAGGGAAATCCAGAAATCGTTCAAAGTCCAGGTCAGCCAAAAACAAGAAAAATGTGGAGTGTTTCTACTGTCACAAGAAAGGGCATTACAAGTCAGAATGCTATGCTCTAAAGAAGAAAGACAACCAGCGTGGTGAAACCTCAGATTCAGCTAATACGGTAAAGGCTGATACTGCGCTGTTGCTGAGACGATTCTTGCAGTATGTCCCTTGGATGGCCGTTCCGATAGAGAATGGATCTTGGATACAGGTGCATCTTTTCATATGTGTCCAAATAAAGATTGGTTTACTACTTACAGATCTATAAGTGGTGGATCAGTCTTGATGGGCAACAATGTAGTTTGCAAGACAATTAGTATTGGTACAGTTCGCATCTGGTGTCACGATGGGATAGTGAGAACTTTGTCAGATGTGAGACACATCCCAGACTTAAAGAAAAATCTGATTTCTTTGAGTTCTTTGGATTCTATTGGGTGTTCTTACACTGGTGAAGGTGGAGCTCTTAGAGTTACTAACGGTTCATTGGTTGTGATGAAAGGTAGTAAGGTGAACAGTCTTTATGTTCTCCAATGCAGTACGGTGACAGGCTCTACATGTGTGTCTTCTGATGCTGATAGGGACACTACTCAGTTGTGACACATGCGCTTAGGTCACATGAGTGAGAAGGAGATGACTATTTTGAGTAAACGTAGCTTACTCTATGGTGACCATACATCATCACTTGATTTCTGTGAACATTGTGTGTTTGGGAAGCAAACTCGGGTCAGCTTCTCGACTGGCTCACATACGACGAAGGGCACTCTCGACTACATCCATTCAGATTTGTAGGGACCTGCTCAGGTTCCATCCAAAGGTGATGCTCTTTATTTTCTGACATTTAATGATGATTTTTCCAGAAAAGTTTGGGTTTACTTTCTCAGGCGCAAAAGCGAGGTGTTCGAAACTTTCAAGAAGTGGAAAGTACTTGTTGAGAATCAAACTGGAAAGAAGATTAAACATCTCCAAACAGATAATGGCCTAGAGTTCTACAGTGATGAGTTCAATCAGTTCTGCTCAAATTCTAAGATCGTACGACATCGCACGATCAGGCACACTCCTCAACAAAACGAGTGTAGGCTGTCAAAAAATCACAATAGATAGCTGATACCCATCAAAACACCAATGATGGAAGTTACACTCTGACGACTTCCAGAAGGTTACAATTTGAAGATTTTCACGTAGACTGATGAAGGTTACAATCTGACGACCTTCGCAACAACTGATGAAAGCTCTAATCAACAGCCTTCATAATCAACATCGAGAGTTACAATCTGACGACTCTCACATATCAAAGAGCTAAATCAAAGATTACAAAACGACGATCTTTGCAACGCTCTGACAGAAAGAGACTACAAATCGACGGTCTCTTCAAACCAAGACGTGGGAGTCCTCCCCGCGTACCAGCATCAAGACGCACCATGTTCATAGCCACGAATGCAGCTCAAGCGTGGCCTCCAAAGCTGCCAACACAGCTTCTATCCGCTGCCAAACGCAGCTCAGACGCAACTCTATACCGCTACCAAACGCAGCTTCCATCCGCTGCCAAACGTAGCTTCCAAGCCGCCAAACGCAGCTTCCATCCGCTGCCAAACGCAGCTTCCAAGCCGCCAAACGCAGCTTCCATCCGCTGCGAAACGCAGCTTCCAAGCCGTCAAACGCAGTTTCCATCCGCTGCCAAACGTAGCTTCCAAGCTGCCAAACACAGCTTCCAACAAGATGCCAACGCAGCTTCCAAATTGCTGCGTCTGAGCTTCCAAACACTGCGTTTGAACGCAGAATTCACATCAGAACACGGATTTTGCGTTTGACTCGTTCAAACACGAGCTGAACGGTTTCTAAACCGTTTCCCACGATCTGAGGGGATTACAACTCCACTCAGGAGTGATTTAAGGGGGCGGTTACATCCCATTAGCCCCACTTAGGAGCGAATTAAGGAGGTGGTTACACCCCTTAATCCCCTATAAATAACTGAAAATCAATTCAGTTCGGGGGTTCGGTCTGTTGGAACTTCTTGGCAGCGAAAAGAGGATCCTTCATCCTTCGGTTGGAGCTTTGGAGATCGGCAACAAGATCTTCTTCATCCTTGGCTTATAACCGAATTTCGGTTAAATCAACTCTTTCATAGAGTTTCAAACTCGTTCAGAGTTCTCCACAACGTCAAATCGTGAGGAGAAGACCACGTTCCAGTGAAACAAGACATCGGATCGTCAACGGAGAGCAAGTTCGACGCAAGCATTCGAAGGAAGCACTCCATCGCCACCGTGAAGAACCCAGAATTAAACAAAGGGGGAGAATCCAGATCATTCTCCTCTCTTTTGTAATCAGGAAATCCAAATTGTAATCAATTTTGAGAGAATACAAATCAATTTTTCTTTCATTGTCTTTTTACTACAAATTTTTCCACAAAC